GCCCCTAAGCTCTGGTAGCCTCCCACCTTACAGAACAAAAAGTAATTTACGGTATTGCCTCATAATTTCAATTAAACACAAACACATATCTATGCATCTGCCATGCTTCTCTTCTGATATTAGGTAGCCATCTCATTTATTGTTCAAATTAAGACTCTTTTTTTTTTTGTCTTTTTTTCATTTTTATCGGTACCAGGGATCGAATTCACGACTGCCTGCTTGCAAGGCAGGTACTTACGCCACTGAGCTAAATCCCCAGCCCCAAATTAAGACTCTTAAGAGGGAAACAAGGGTCTATTAATAATTAAATGGTACAGTAAGCATAAACTGGGACTGACATAAGTAAACTGGAAATCTGGGTACTTGGCTCATATAGCCACATGGATCACTTTCTAACTTCTACTTAAGTTTTTTCAATATCACTCTTTATGATGCCTTCACTGACCTCTGTTTAAAATTGCATCACATTCCACAATGCCTTGGTTGATTTATTTTTTCCCCATGATGCTATCACTACTGACAGAGTGTGAGTTTTAGCTAGCAGTTACATTGGTTATTGATCTCCCTTCTAAAACAAAAACTTCAACAGGTCAGGGGTTTCATTTCTTTGGTACACTCAATTGTAACCTCAGTGTCCACAGAACCCTCAACACCATAGTAAGTAGTTCTTAAACTTGAATGTGTTGGCAGAGGGGAGAGTCATGTTTCTTGAAGTCTTTCTCATTAGTGCTCTCTTCTTAAATCCTTTTCTTTTCTTTACTTTAATTTGGTGAACCTTTTGGCAGTTGAGACCTTAGCAGGATTTTCTAATGTGCTCTTTCTTATCCCTAAGAGAAGCTAATAATGACCATTGCCATGATTCCCTAAACTGGGACTTGGCTCCCTAGAGAGGGAAATTTGTATCCAGAATTTGCCACATTGCTGCTGGAAGGAGAGGGCTTCCTATCCTTAGAGGGCTCCCGTGTTGGAACTGACCCGGCAGCTGTGGAACTGTGGGGGTCAATGCCATGGCCTTGGGGCTGGGCCAGCTCTGGTTCTGGTGTAGGGACCAAAGATCCGCTGAGAGGGGACTGTTGGAGAGCTCCAGTGAGCTTGTTATCTCTTTTTCTTCTGTCTGTTAACTCTGCCCTCAGACTGAGGCCCACATTCACAGAATGAGGAGTATGTCAGGGTTGAGCCTTACCAGTGTCTTAAAGGTTTCTGAAACAGTTCTGGCAGGAAAAAAAGGATAAAAAGGAATGAGAAGGGAAGACCTTGCGTATCTGGTGGAGAGTGGCCTTTGGGATCTCCACCAATAAATTCACTGGGAGTCTTAGAATTTCTGTACCACTGGGAGTGGGTTTTGGCCTGGCAAAGATGGCAGTTACTGCGAAAGAGGGGCGTCCAGGCCCTCAGAGCCTAGGTAGGCTGCAGTAAGGATGAGAAGGGAAAATAAAACTCCCACAGCGTTTCTGTAACATTGGTTTCCCCAAAGCGTCTTAAATGATTGTAAACAAGAGCCACAGCCTTAGTGAGTTGGAAACGGGAGTAAACTAGGTCTTGAAGAGCAGAGGAGAATACAGCTATTGTGGTCATTGAAAAGTCACAGTTCTAGAAGTCAGTGGTGAAGCAGTACTAAGAGAGTTTAAGTACATGTAGCCAAGAACCTAAAAAGGAAACCTAGAGAAAGCTTCTAAACCTGTTCATTGTTTTTTAGTGTTAGTTTGAGCCAAGGAAACGTTGGCAAATGGTTATGTAGTAGAGAAAGTCATTTTGTGAAACACAAGGAAATTCCCATGGGCATGACCTTAATTCAGAAAGCACAGTCCTTTGCAGCCTGAGGAACATGAACTGAGCCTTCTGGCCACATTTCCTGTGAGGTACACCTATCATTTCACACCATCGTACCTCACAATTTCTGCCAAACTCAGAGAATAACTTCACAAGGCTACCTTGCAGCCACCGCTTCTAACGCAGTCTGCAGCACCGGCAGACTTGGAATTCATCCCTTTGTTTTTCTCTGGGTTCCTATTGCCCTTTGTTTATAACTGTTATAAACAGATTGCTTGAGAAACCAAACCAAACCAAACAGTGGATACCTGTCTGTCTCCTGCACGCGAATGTGACCTCAGAAGCAGGAGTCCTGTTTGTCACTGTGTTAGCTCAGACCTGTTCCGAAGAGGGAAGGGCTGATGGTCTGTTGCCCACCCCCAGTCCTGCAGTGGCCGGCATGTGGAATCCCAGTGATCATTGCTGGCTAGAATTGACTCTGGGTTAATCAGATGAATGAGGTATACAGAAGGCTGACTTTATTCTTCTTTCTTTCCCTCTCTGGGCAGTGACCCGCTTTGTGGCTGGTACACTGTGCTCCTGGCTCAGACATACTTACAGCAGGGGACACTTTTCTTGACTCAATCCTGATTCCAACCTTCTCCCTTTGATCTCTGGGCCGGCCCCTCCCCGCCCCCACCATTGTCCTGCTCTGGGAGCTAATATTTCTCCTCCCCAGTGCAGGCCTCACCACCACTCTTCCCTGTCACATTGTGAGATGTTGCCCAGGGAGTCAGTTGTGCAGGGGACCAGCTGGAATGGGAGAAGGTTATGTCCTCTCAGCTGCGAAAGGCTCCAGCCTGCTTTTTATCTGCTCATTTTTTTTCTTGTTGCCCTAGGTTTAACAGATAAACTATAACATGAGGTTGTGATGCTAGAAGGGACTGGATTGTGATTTTTGACTAAAATTCTGCTGTTCAGGGAAGTAAATAGAGTAGTAGTTTTATGTGGGGGCACCGACACCAGACTGCATGTGTTCTAGTCCTGCTCCAACTGCTTACTAGTTCTGATTAACTCTCTCATCTACATGGGGCCATATCCCCGTGCCTACCATATCATTCATTCATAATTTGTTAGTCAGCTCCTACCATGGGCTAGGGATTCTTCTAGATGCTAGAAAAATAGTAGTGAAAACAAAAACGCATTAATACCTTTATAGTACTTAGCACAATAGCTAGTATATAGTAAATATTCAGTATTTAGCAGTATTCTGTTCCCAGTAGTTTTCTGAGACTTTATTAACTTGGGAGGGATAACCTTTGGCAGTAGCTGTGGGACAGATAGAGGAAGGGCTAAGGTTAAGTTCTAGATTTGGACTTAGGTTCAGGGCAGCACTGACTTGCATGACCTTTCACTTTTGGTATTCATTTTGAAGTTAAATACATAAGCTGGAAAAGATCACCCTGGAAAATTTGAGTCACTATAGTTCCGTGGGGAGGGCAGGAGGAGACCGTAGGCTGCCTAGTGTCTGCCTAGTCCCTTTGTTCAGACAGCATGGGCCCATGAAGCTGTGTACAAGTGACCCTGTGAGAGGCAGTATGTCTGGGGTCTTAAGGAAGGAGGGCATTGCTTGGCTCTTCACTTCTCAGGCTCTCTGCCTATGGAGTAGAGAGAGGGCTTTGTAGGAGGAGCTGGCTTAAGAAGTAGAGAGCTGAAGGGGCTGGAGATTTAGCTCAGTGACATAAGCACCTGCCTGGAAAGTGCGAGGTCATGAGTTTGATCCCAAGCACAAAAAAAAAAAAAAGAGTTACAGAGAGAGTGAGGTGGATAGAGGAGGCATGGCCTGGTAGTTTGCCTTCTAGGTCATTCCAATGGGAGTATTGCTAGAGATGATCAGTGTGATAACACATGGTGTGATTACTACTAGAGGCAAAGTTTAGACTCAGTGCTCTTGAATCATAGACTGTGGTTTCCAGTGAAAGTCCAAGCCTAGCTGATACCTGATTTGACATTGCAATTAAAAGAAAGAAAGAAAGAAAAAATCCAAGTCTGAGATAGCATTTCTGGAGGTAAGAAATGAGTAGGCTGCTCCATGGCAGTTGGTGAATTCTCCAGCTGCCCCTCGGAGGACAAAACTCTGTGACCCTGACTATAGGTTAGTAGGCTCGGCACCTCCCTCATGCTTGTCACACTGTCTCTTCCACCCACTCACAGGGGTTTTTCAGAACTGAATGCCTGTACCACACAGAAAAGGCACCCTTGACGTGTAAGATAATAGGCCAGTCTCATGGGCCGTGGGTTCTTAGGTTGGCTCCCATGTGAGTTGCTGGCATGGCTGCCCTTGGGGACCTGCTAACATGGCTGAGAACCGTGAGGATTGGCACGCATGGGGACCGATGATGTAGCTCTGGGCCTGTTCCAGGGTTTGAAGTGTAACAGTTTTGGATACCACTCTTACATTTCATTTTTATTGCACTTTGTTCAGTCTTCTCCCATTACTTCAGCTCAGTTCAGCCAAGTACATGGAGCTAGAACAAGGCAAAGTATTTTGCTGTGGATATAAACATACTCCATAGTGAAGTAATCATAGCACTGTTTCTTTTTTTCACTACCACCTCCCTAAGATACTTTAAAAGACATTTTTTCCCTAACCACTCCCCCTCAAGAAATTATAATGGTACAGAAACACCAAAAATCTGTTTATGTATGATATATATATATGTATTATACTTTAAAAGAGTAGCTTTTTTTTTTTCTTTTTTACCTTCAGAAACCAATTTTCACCACTGTGGGGGAATTATCACCCCATTAAGGGTACGTTGGTCATACAATAGAATTACAGTAGGCAGGAGGACCTCAGTATCTTTGTTAATCTTCTTTCCTGTCTGTGGAAGTTTAGGAGTAAAGTTAGTTAAAGTAGTAATCTGTACAGCTCAGGGACAACTTAGAAACAATAACTTTCTGAAATAAACCTCTGAAAGCTCGTCCCTGTGGAAGAAAGCGTGACGAGACCTGTAGAGCACTCACGGGAAAACACAAGAGACCTAAGAATCACAGGACATAGAGGTGCACCTCTGGGGCTGCCTTTCCGAGGATTCCAAGAGGTCTTATGGCAGTCCCTGAGGGCTTGGCAGTGGAGTTAACCACTTTAAAGAAATGTGTTTAAGGTTGTTGCCACTTCTACCAGTGGAATATCAGATCACTTTTCTCAGGCCAGTCAGTATAACCACAGCATTGCCTGTCCTCTGTAGAAACTACCAGAGGCATGCGACGTCGGCGATGGAAAGTCCTTTGTCATCAGTCTGCAGAGTCTGTATGTGGCAGTCACCAAACAGGAACTCCAAGTGGGACAGAAGCATCAAGGAGCTGGTGAGGAACCACAGACACACCTGGTCCACCTGGGGTGAAAGTCTGTGTTTGTGCTGTCCCATCGCTCTAGCCACATGTGGCTATTTAAGTTTAAATTAATGAAAAATAATTTAGTTCTAAAATTAGAAATCTATTTCCTCATTTGTGTTAGTCACATTTCAGCAACCACATATGGCTGGTGGCTACCAGGTTGGACAGTGAAGATATAGGAGATGTCCCTTGTTCTAGAAAGTTCCTGTAGATGGCACAGGCCTTGGGTGCCCCAGAATTCAGCTTCCTTGAATGGGGAGAGCAAAAAGCCTCCTCTCCCTAGAGGCCTGAGGGCACATGCAGAGAGGCTCTGTGAGTCAAGGGATCTCTCTGCTGGCATGGCTTGAGAACAAGCTCGAGGCATCTTCATAGAAACACGGCTTTCTGAAGAGCAGCTCAAAGTTGGATTTGTGGCTGCTTCTGTCTGTTCATTTATTTAGTATCGAGTTCTGGCCTGTATCTGAGTTCTGGGTAAATGCTGGTGTCTTCCTCGTAAGAAAGCATTTTCTCACAGTCTTCTCTGATCTTTCCCATCGCAGGAGGTCCTGAGGCCTCAAGCAGCGCCTCCCATGGAGGAACTGATAGCCAGCTTCTGAGCCAGTCAGCACAGCCGGGCTCCTCAGAAGTGTCTTCCTCAGCGCCCGAGACAGGACCCACGGTGAGTCTTGGAGGCTTCCTGGGGGAGTGCTGAGCAGAGAGGAGTCAGTGCCTGTAACCCCAGCCAGTGGGCCCTGCAGTCGCTGCCCAGTCGGTGCTGCCCAGCAATAGCGAGGGACATTTGTGAACAAGCCTGCAAACTGTGCAGAATCCTGGTCTTTCCTGTGTTCCGTTGCTGTCTCCTCTCTGCCTTTCTTACACTGAGTGATGAGCCCTGAGTCCCTTTTCCTCTTATCCCAGTTGCAGTGGGGACTCATGAGTTGCTCCCTGGGGGAAACAGAAAATACATGTGCATCTCCCGTTTTGGAGTCTTAGGTCACACCTGCCCCCTGACATAGACTTCAGAACACCCATGTCAGATACTTCATGGCCTCATCCTAGCCAAGAGCCACAAGAGGGAGAAAGTTCCTTTCCTGCTCTAAGTGCCTCCATTTCAAAGCCTCTATTAACTTGGGTTCCTCTTTTCCTAGGGTACTGCAGGCCTTACGCAGAGACCTCAGATCTCAAAGGCCAAGCGGAAGAAGCCAAGGGGGCTCTTCAGTTAGGCTGTCACGGTCTCAGCGGCTGGAATGGACCAGAGGAGCTTCTAGGCGTTGCTGGGAAAGGAGCTGTGGGATGAGTGTCTCTCAGGCAGACTCAGGGTCAGAGGCCACAGTTGGGGCAAGAGGACAAAGTTCATGTCAACAGGCCACAGAACGGGACAGTTAACCAAGCAAAGCTCGGTTCCAGCCAACCTGGCCTTCCCTGTTTGGGCAGAAGCCCGTCTCCAGGAGTCTCATACTTTCCTCGCTTTTGGTGGAGGTTCTTCAGACCCAGGACCCTACCTCAGTGTACCTTTGGTGTATACAGCCAGTCTGCAAACAAGTACAACGCGCTCGGGAAGCCTTGCCTGCCTTTCTTTAGTTCCTAGTCAGTCCCGGATGCTCCTGGAGACCTACGTGTCTCCCTGGCACAGAATAAAACCACTTACAGTGCCTGCCTTCAAGATTATTTGTCTGTGGACCTCCTTCCCCGCCTCAGCTCACTGAGCCCTGTTGTCCCGGGTGAGGTCTGAGCCCGCACCCAAGTCCTTCAGGGTCCTCTTCTCTGCTATGGCCCGAGCCACAGCTTCGGGAACTTTGATCTCAAGACCTGCACCGTGGGGTCTCAAGACTGACAGCTGCTCTTTTTTTGCCAACCCGGGTGTGTTTTCCTTTTGCTTCCAAGGCATAGATAACAGGGTGGTTACAATATGGACTCAAAATGGCAAAGAGCTTCAAGCACTAGGGTCAAAGCAGGTTCCCCTGGGTGGCAGCAAAGGGAACTTGACTTTCTCGTTTTCCACTCCACTTCAGATAACATAGCAAGCAGAAGAACTAGGGGAGCAGGAAACAGGAAATGACCCCGTGAGTTCGAGAGGTACAAAATCGGCTTCTAGAACTAAATATTCATGCCTAGCAGGAAAAAAGAATAAAAGCTGTGTGAAAAGGGAAGAATTTGAGATGGTGACCTCACGGGCATTCCAGAGCTGTCACAGTCCCTCAGTCTCAGCCGGAGTCTCCTCTGTAGTGAGACCATGAGGAACTTTCTCTTGGAGGAATAGAGTGAAAGTAGAGCTCAGGTGTTTGGGGGAACTTGGAGGGAGAGGGAGGGTCAGGAGCAGAGTGCAGAGACGTGTGTCTATACTTTTGATGGCCTCCTCACCAGTGTCCTCCCTGGTGGGGACTCATGTTTCGGGACTGATGCTAAACCATGGGGAGAGGAGCACTCAAGAAATAATAAAGTGCTCATTGTTATAATTGGGACAACAGTACCTGGTGCAGGGGCGCAGCCCCAATCCCAGCCACTTGGGAGGCTGAGGAGAAAAATGGCACGGGCTGCCCGGGCAACTCAGTGAGACCTTGTCTCAAAAATTTTAACAAAAAAGGTCTGGGAGTGTAGCTCAGTGGGAAAGGCATGGCTGTCATACATGCGGCCCTGACTTCAATCCCCAGTGCTGGAAGGAGAAGGAGGGGTGGGGGAGGAAGGGATGAGGAAATGAGAAAACACCACCAAAACAGAACAGCGGTAATAAACCACTCTTGTTAATGAGTGGTTCATGTGTGTCAGGTGGCCTGGCCAGTGAGGGCCTCATAGCAAATCCTCGCCGTACTGTCTGAGGAAGATACCACTAGCCCACTGGGAAAGTGGTTGTTCAGGCATTTGAGTGGCTTAGCAAAGGTCACTCAGCTAATGTTTGAGGCCAGACAACTGACTTCTTTTTTTATATTTTTTTTTTTGTCTTTTTCGTTTTTTTTTTTATCGGTACCAGGGATCAAACTCACGACTGCCTGCTTGCAAGGCAGGCGCTTATGCCGCTGAGCTAAATCCCCAGCCCGACAACTGACTTCTTAAAAGCATGACTACACATATTGCCAAACTGCTGGGTCCTCTTCTGTTCTTCCCTGGCACCTTTACTGCATGACCCTGCTCGTTTTGGAAGCCGCTCTCCTCCCGGGGGGGGGGGGGGCAGCCATCCTCTGGGACTCCGGAACTCACTCCCTTTCCTTTTTTTGCAGGAGAAACCCACTAGGGATGGTCCCTGTCATTGCTGACCTTTCTTTACCTGCAGAGCACAGTGCTCTGTGTACCCCCCCCCCCGGTGAGAGTGACTGTCATCCAGGAGAACTGTGACAACTGTCCACTCGCTGGCTCACTGTGTTCTTTGGTTTCTTTCTGGCAAAATTTAGACAGCCAGGTTTCGGGGGCTACATGACATGGGACCACATAGAAAACAGAAAAGCTTCCCCATCCAGCTTGGAGAAAATGGGGTTCTTTACTCTGGATAACCCCTCCTTCTTCAAGTGGGAACCTTTAATCAGAGAAACCAGAGGCCCAGGGATCCCCTAAAATGATAAGGAAACTACTAAGAGCATAACTTTGTTCTTATTCTCGTAAGACTGTGTGTGACTTTTTCTGAAGGTTAATAATAAACTGGGTGCGGTAGCACACACCTGTAGCCTGTAATTCCCGCACTCTGGGAGGCTGAGGCGGAAAGGTTGCAAATTCAAGCCCAGCCTGCAACTTAGTGATTTACTTGAGACCATCCCAAAATAATAAATACGGAAAAGTGCTGGGGACATAGCTGTTTGAAGGCCCTGGGTTCAGTCCTCAGTACTAGGTCACGCAGGCTGGGAGTGGGGTCCTAAGACTATAACTAGTGACCTTTCTGTCCCCCTCCTGCTGTAGCCCCAAGGTGGCTCTCTCTGTGGGGTGTTGCTTAATACATCCTAGGGAACCAGTGCAGCCAGAGGCCCTGCCTCAGGCATTCTTGCCCTGCATCCTTCACCCCGAAGCAAGTAGCGGTGGTTGAGAATCATTCATCCCAGGGCAACGCCAGGGAAATCCCTGCTTTGACAAATTGAGGGAGCCAGGCTGTATTCCAGCCCTGCCCCCTGGCTTGGGCCCCTCCCGGAGGCCCCCAGCCTAGCCCAACCCCCACTCCACATGCACATAAAAGGGTCGAATTCTCGTGGCTGCTCCATAAATTTTATTCCGTAAATATTAGTTTTCCCTGTGTTTAATAAAGCAGTGGCCCACCTCCCCGCCTACCCACCCGCTCCCCGGGGCCGGGGCTGGGGCCAGGGCTGGCTGGTGGGAGAAGGGACTCTTTCAATTGCTTTGGAGTATTTTTAGAAAAAAAAATATAAGGTGGTTTACACGAGCAATCCAGCAAACCAGGAGCAGGACTTGGGACCTCGAGGAAGTTCCTGCAGTAAGTTGACCAAAAAGTAGAGAAATAGCGCCACCTAGGTTGCAAGGCCTACTTGACCTTGCTGGCTGGTGCCCTGGCAGTCAGCTGAGACCGTGCAGCAGCTAGGACCAAGGCTGTTTGCTCAGAGAGAAATCCTCACCTCTGCACTGCATTTGGGTAGCACCTCCTTATCTCATGCCGCAGCCCGTACTTTCCCAGAGGCGCTTAAAAGCAGAACCCAAGTGGGGTCCTGGAAAATCCCTCCAGAGCCATTCTTTTCCCGTTCACCAATGTCCCTGATCAAGGACTGTTTCTGAGGCATACGCTGACTCCCAAGACGCTGGCTCTGGAATTCCTAGAGCACCTGGTGGTGGGGACGGAGGTCTGTACTCCTGTGCTCTGGACTGGCAGAGCCCAACTTGGTCAGACTAAGATCCTTCCTAGGCTGCTGCAGCCATGGATTCAGGCCGTGGGGACAGGAGAGATGCCACCCATTCTGATGCTCAGCCCCACCGCTTGTTTTCACCCTGGGGTAATGTGGTCTCCTTTCCTTGCTGTTCTCTTAAACTCCCATTTCCAAACATGTGCCTAGGCTGGGACTCTTGGGAGCTGCAGGAGCCCCTTGGATGATGCAAGAAGCCGTACCACTCCTCTAGGCCTGGATTCGCTCCCTGTCCCGATTTTATCACCAGGGTGACTTTTTCCCTCCACCTGTTTTGTCCCTCACTATCTCCTACTTACAAAACTAGGAAGATCTGTTCCAAAGAATGCAGGGCCCAGCTGAATCCTCCTAACAACCCTTCTGAACTTAATTGATTTGATTACTTACCTTTCAGCATTGTGCTAGTAACATAGGCTGTTAATAGATATACTCCGCACTTCCCCCGTGCTTGTTTTCTTCCTTTCATGAGGTTCAACTCCATGGGAAGAGGGTCAGTTTTTAACCCTAACCTAGAAAATGTCACCATTGTGATACACTTGTGTTACCTCGAATATGTTTTTCTAAGCTTTGCCCTGGAGAAATCTGTGTTCTACTTTTCCTGAAGAAACTTTCAAAAGGAGTGACATGCTGTAAGGAAGCCACTGAACTGAGCTCAAGAATGGTGGATGCTAATCCCTATTACCAACATCCATACACACTCATGGCCCAGCAAAGTATAGTAGGTTATCATAGGCCCTTAGGTACCTGTACTGAGGGCCGCACAGGAGGAGGGAGCCCACATGTTGGGGGCCCCTCAGGAAGCCCCTACTGCATAGTCTAGTCCTGGGCTCGTTATTGCCCCAGGTCTCTTTCTTGTTCTCCTGGCCAGGGCCTCTGAAGGCCCCCCTGGGGGGAGCATACTGGTCACTGTCTGTGTCAGGGATAGGAGTTGTGGGGGACCCATCTCTATTTGAGAAACTGGGAGCCTGTCTATCATTTCATCTCAGAACACTTGGGGATGTTTTTCCATCCTTCGAGACTTTATGGTATCCTGTATGCATCCTCTCAGTTCTGAGCTCCTATTTGTCTCTCCTGGCCATAGATGTCATCTGGTAGAACCAGAGTATTCAAGTAAATACTCTCCCAGGCTGGTAAGTTAAGTCCCACCCCGTTTTTCTATGTGGAGCCCAATAGATCTTTTGCCATCTTCCACACCCTTGGACCCCTTTGAATGAGCGCTGGCCTCTGGGCACTCAACTCTCATAGATTCCTGACAATCTGGACCAGCCTCCTAGGGGAACCCGGAAGAGGCATTGAAAGAACTCCAGGGTGTGGGGAGCACACTGCCATTGACTCACCTGGGAAGATTGTGCCAGGATTACTTGTCCTGCTGGGCCAAGGGCCAGTAGTTAAAGGAGCATGCAGTGCTACACTCTTCCTTCTCGCACTTTGGGGCCCAAATAGTGGTGGGGCTGGAAGTGGGGAGTGGGGCTTGGGGGCTGCTGGGAGTCCCTTCTGAAATCTGGGTGTTCTGTTTACTCTTTCATATTGGCAGCTGGAAGGGGAAGCCCATCCCAGCTCAGCATTGTTGTCTAACATGGTTAATCAGATCCTATAATCCTGCTGTGGAAATATTGGGCCTCACTCAAAACAATAGAGACCAAGAATATTGTGGTTAAATTTCAACCAACTGCCTCCCTGGCCTGTTTGCCTAACCCCTACCCCCCTCTCCCGGGCCAGAGTCCTCCTAGCTTTATGGACCCCTGATAGGATCCACGACCAGTCAGAAATCGTGACAGGAGAGGGGAGAATGGAGTAGGGGAAGGACAGTCCTCTTGACTGCCTCTCCATT